AACCAGTATCGCGCCTGGGTGATGTCCGTGAGGCGCCCGGTTCCCGGCCAGAACGGACCGATCTCTGGGACTTCTTGGCATCCCCCGCTGACCGTCAGCTCGCCTCAATTCTTTCAATCCCCGACAGCATTCAGCGCGCCGCCCCAGCAACCCCAGCCAACCCAGCCAACAGCGCATCCCGGGCAAATGCACTGGCGGAACGGACAACTGTCGGCCACGAGCCCAGTCGTCGAAAATCTCCGTCACCCCGCTTACGCGACACAGGCACAAGGGCTGCCGCAAACGATAAGCCCTGGCGCTCAAGGCGGCGTGTATTCAAACGCTCCGCGACGGCAGTCCTCTGAACCGACACCGCGCCATTTCCCCGGGGGGCAATCGTTTCAACCACAGAGCTATGCAACGGTCCCTGCTGCCCAGGCATCGCCCCGCCTTCACGACGGGCAACCGGTTCTACCACAGAGCCATGTTTCACACCCTGCGCAGACACCCCTGCGGCACCCTCATCACCAACAACTCATACAGGACTATCGTCGCCAATCGCTTTCCCTAGTTCAGGGAGGACATCCGACCCCCCCTGTTCTTCCAAGCAACTATATCCTTCCACCTGGACCTGGACAGCATGTCGTATTCCCCAGCGAGGTCCATGGCGCCACGGCACATTCCATGATGTCTACCAGGACGAATTTCCTGCCTATCAATGTCAACATGCAAGGGCGCATGTATCAATTTCACCAGATGCCGCCCGCGGCGGCAGGGTTCCCCTCGGCCCTAACGCCCCAGAACGCATCTCGCCAGGTATTACCGCCTTTGCTCCCGCCCCCAGGGGTGCTCATCCCAAGACCCGATTACGCCCACGGCCAGTACGACGAAAGCTCTTTCAGTATGACGCTACACCAGATCCACTTACGGAGTCCCGTCAGAACGAGTCGGCTTTTGAACAACAAGCGGGAGTCGCAGGAGCGCCATTATCAATTCGTTAACGGATTCGCCGTCGCCCCTGTGGTTATACGCAGCGACAGTCGCTGCACCACCGAACTTACTTTCGACGTGGATGACGAGACGCTGTCCCGCCTGTCCAAGCCTGTCTCGCAGCAGGACGGCGAGCCGAAAGTCCCAGTTTGCGAATACGAGGACGGCACATTGCGCATGCGATTGCGGTGCTGCAATATTAGCGGCCCCACAGCCGACATGTCCCAGTCGAAGTGGTTTAATACCGAGAGTTCGTGGCCGGCGCACATTTTTATAATGCTGAACGGCAAGACGGCGTTGACACCGAGGCGGAAACCGCATTACGGCAAGGATCTGCCTGTTGAGCTGACTTTATACGTTATCGGTGGGAAAAACCAAGTCAAGATTGCGCTAGCAATGCTGAGGGTGCCCGTGGAGTATTATGCTATCGCGGTTGAGATCATTATAACGAAGAGCCACTCGTCTCTTTGGAACCAGATCCGAAACGACCAAGTCATCCCCCCAGAGAAGACGTTGGAGGTGATTCGGAAGCGAATTAGTGTGAACAATGACAACGACGACGACAGCATCATGGTGGTGACCGAGGAGCTGCCGATCGATCTTGCGGATCCGTTCTCGGCCATTATGTTCGAGACGCCAGTCCGGGGTGCCACATGCACCCACCTGGAATGCTTTGACTTGAGTAACTGGCTCGAAACGCGCGAACGCAAACCTCAATCTCGCAAATGCATTTCGCACCAGGCAGACGTATGCGAGGTGACGTGCCGCTGGCGCATTTTCGAGCCGACGCTCGTGGACAGATGGCGGTGTCCCATTAAAGGCTGTTTCGGGGACGCTCGTCCATGCAGCCTTGGGTGGACGGTTCCTGCTCGGGGTGCGCAAGGAGCTCGAGTCCACAGGCCGGCTTAACGCGCGCAGCATCCGTGTCTCGGCGGATGGATCCTGGAAGCCAGTCCCGGACCGGAATGACGACGTCAACGACGATTCGGGCAGTGACGGTGACTGCAAGGCCAAAGCGGCACCGAGCCGGCGGAGCAAGAGCAAGCCAGCCAGGGCGACATCTACTAGCAGCATGTATCCAGACGTCCGCGCTCTGCATCCGCTTCTCACCGACCTCACTTGAAGGCTGAGGGAGGTGCCGCCCCTCGTTTCAGCAAGCATGCAAAGCCCGCATCTTTATCTAATCGTTTCTTTTGGGCTTTTCCCTTCTTCTCCCCCCTCCACAAAC